GCAAAAATGTGTTTCCTTTACCGAGTTAACCAAGTAGGTGACAAAAACACATCACCTGACAGATCGGATGACTCTTCCCCGCATATGTAAAAATGTTTGTTATAAAAAAAAAAAAAAAAAAAAAACCTATTGCTTTTTTTATTTTTTCATTTTTTTAATCCGTTTTTTTTTTTTTTTTTTTTTTTTTTAACAACACTGAAAACAACAAGAGGATTCTTTTCCCGCGTTACTCCTTTGGGCAGTGAACGACTGAATTATACATTTTCGCGCGAAAGCTGAATTTTGTTTCCCACGCAAATATAAAAAAAAAGATTATTCACAGGAGCGTGCATCGCCTTATTTCCCCCCCCCCCCGTTGTTCTTTTTCTGTTCCAAAGGGAAACTCTGTCGACGTGTTCGAGGTAAGAATATGAGTGAGATGAGGCGATGATTGCTGCAATGGCGTGATTGCTTATAATCGGGTGATTGATCCTAATCGCGGTGATGCTTGGCGAAGGAGAGGCGTGCGCGGCGGGGATGGTATATGAATTATACTGCATGGCCTGCCGAACATCCGTGACAAAATTTTTTTTTAAGCAAGTACGCAGGGCTGGCTTACCCCAAATGGCTAAGCCCCTGTTGAGATGAAATGCTTTTTCAGTTGGCCCGTTTGGCGCATTCTTCTGAAGTTAGCAGCGGCCCGCGTCATCACTTAACCGCTGAACCGCTTCATCTCTTCGTCGCATCTTGGCCGCTTAACAGCGTCCTGCGTAACAGCGTCCTGCGTAACCGCTCCACCGCTTTGCTTCTTCACCCCGCGCAGCATCCAATGGCGACCGTGAGGCCCGTGGCAAACGTGTACAGCACGAACAAGAAGGAGGTGGTTGGTGAGGTAGAAATCCCCATAGTGTTTCAAACGCCCATAAGAAGTGACCTGGTACAAGAAGTGTTTAAAAATGTTTCAAAGAACAGGAGACACCCGTATGCAGTTAAGTTGGAGGCAGGGTATGAAACATCAGCAGAGTCCTGGGGTACAGGAAGAGCAGTGGCACGAATCCCGAGAGTACCAGGAGGAGGAACACACAGAGCAGGACAAGGAGCATTTGGAAACATGTGTAGAGGAGGAGGAATGTTTAATCCGACTAAGATATGGAGAAGGTGGGGTAGGAAGGTAAATCTGAAGGAGAAGCGTTATGCTGTTTGTTCATCCATTGCAGCTAGTGGTGTGACATCGTTAGTCCTAGCAAGAGGACACCGTATCTCGAACATGAAGGAAGTACCACTGGTTGTTAGTGATGATATGGAATCAATTAGCAAAACGAAAGAAGCTCTTAAGTTTTTAATCACACTAGGATTGAAAGAAGAAGTGAACAGATTAGTAAAGTCAAAAAAGATTAGAGCAGGAAAAGGGAAAATGCGAAACAGAAAGTACAGAATGAGAAATGGTCCTCTTATTATATATAATAAAGATTCTGGTGTGAAGAAAGCCTTTAGGAATATACCTGGTGTTGATTTGTGTAAAGTCACGAAACTCAATTTACTCAAGTTAGCTCCTGGCGGATCTGTCGGCAGGCTATGCATATGGAGTGAAAGTGCATTTAAAAAATTGGATATTATATATGGAAGAATTTACAAGAAAAAAATTACAAAAAAAAATTATGTTCTTCCCAAGTCCATTATGGCTAACTCCGATATATACAGAATTATTAGTAGCGAACAGGTGCAGTCCACTTTGCAGGCGAGAAAGAGACCATGCAAGAAGAGAGTACAAAATAAGAACTCGCTCACGAACTTTGCTGTTAGATGTAGACTGAACCCAGCTTACAAATTAATGAGGTCCATCGCTATTAACAGAATAAGAAAGAGCATTGAGGCCAAGAAGAACAACAAAAAGGAACTCCGAGTGAAGAAGAAAATTCAGAAGAAGGAACTGCAGAAGGTCAACCACGCCTACTATACCAGCATCGCCAATTCGATGAAACGCAAAAAGAAGAAGGAAGAGAAAAAGGCCAAGTGTAAGAAGGACGCCAACAAGGCTCTCCTCCCCACCGCAGGGGATGAGTGAAAAGAAGCGTGCACTGTGCACATCACTGCCGAGGGGTCGCCGACATAACAGGGACAAGGCAATAATGGAAGCGAAAATGAAACAGAAAAATGCTGCCCCCATTGAGAAACCCCCCCCGCGGAATGCGGCCATGTCGATGCATATTTCTTTTTCTTTTTTTATTACTAGTTGGTAAATAAAAAAAAAAAAATTTATGTGTGTATATGCTTTATTATACGTGTGGATGTATGCGCCTCCTTGTTTTTTTTTTTTTTTTTTTTTTTTTTTTATTTACTTCTCCATGTTGTTTTTTTCTCGTGCGCACCTTATTTTCAGCGCCGAATTATTTTTTTCACCCCCTTTTTTACATGGCACGTGTCACGTGCCACGTGCAACTTTAAAGACATTAATAAACTAGAATGCTTGAAATTGTTATTGAGTATAATTTACACTGCATTGTAGTGGAGAGTTCAATCTCGACGTAGCAGGTTGTGGTTGCCCCACTCCATGAGGAACACGAGAAAAAGGGCAGCTAACACAACACACTTATGTGCGCACAGCTGCTATTGCAGGTAACCACCGACGTGGCATCGAATAAGCGCCGTTACTCAAATTTTATATCGACCTTGTGAACCCTCATATGGTGCAGCCCTTATCGGCTAGTGCCACGCAGCGAAAAAAAAAAATTTCACTTGATGTAAGGAGGAAAAAGCGACCTCCATTTTTAGCGCAGTTATCGTTTCAGCTTAATCGTTTGAAGAGTTTTTTTTTTTTTTTTTTCCTCTGCAAGCGAATTGGCTTGAAGCTACATTACCGGATCCGTTCACGTGTATAAACTGCATTGGTGAGAAGGAGGCCTCCGTCCCCTTCTCTTTTTTTTACAAGTTGTTTGGGCTGCTAAATCGTCCAACTCTGTGACCCCCCCCCCCGGCACGTGTATCAGGCGAAGAGAGTACATCTTCACATGGATTGAAAGAGGTGTGCATGCACGCCGTTGTCCCCTTCTCACTCGAGCTGCTTTACCCACTTGAACCAAATGAGTGTCAATCGCATTAACAAAATTTTGCTCTGTGCCAAAGTTGAGCTCAAGTCGATTGTGAAGGTGGAATTTTATGCGAGCGCGTCCAACCGGGTCGTCAGGTAAGCGCTGTTAAGCGGTCCACCCGTTGAGCTGTTCAGCAGTCCCGCCAATCACATGCCCGAGCAACGTCCGCCACGTGTCATGTACACTCCCCACACACGTCGACACGACGACACGTTGACACACCTTCGTAGCGACTTCCGAGCCTTCTTTCTGCCCATGCTCAAGTACAACAATTTCAGCGTGGAGTTCGCCTTCCACCCGGCGGATGGAAAAGACGAGAAGGTGGTCCTATGGCCAAGTAAAAAGCATCCTCATGGTTACGTCCTGTTTTGTGTGCATACGGCATGTGTGTATGATTTTGTCGCTGCCCGCTTCTTCTTTTTTTTTTTTTGGTTTTCCCCGTACTGCCGAACTAACCATTTTGTTTCATGCCCACTCTGCAATTTCAGGAAATAAAGACACGCACACGCTCAACTTGGGACTGTACAGGTACAGCCAGCTGCTGTACGACCGCCTGATCTTTCTGGACCGCAAATTCTCGGAGTAGCACGAGAAGGATGCGTGAGCGGGTTGGAGACTCCATGAGTTAGCTCTTCCCCCTCTCGTACACGATAACGTATTATTGCCCTGGAGGGACACACCAGAGGGAGT